ATTCAACAACTTTTCATGGGCACCAGCTTGCCTTGCCTAGGTACTCCTGCTGGGTAGACTCTCTGATATTGAGCCTGTAGAACATTGCATCAGCCTGGTGTCCGAAGTCCCGTACGGCAAGGTTCATCCCTTCCGCTTCCACTAGGGCTGGGGGGTTGCCCAGCCTTGGTGCTTGTCACTGCTGTCTGGTCCAAGTTGCCCTCAATACTGGTAGGGTGATGGTCCTGAGTGCTGGTCACACTAAGGTAGGATAGTAGGGATAGGGGCTGCGCTGGGAGTAGGGAAGGGTAGGGAAGGTGCCCTATCCTGTCAGGAGAACCATCGTCTGCCGTTGCCAGCAATCGCTGTGGGTCTAGTCCTTGGCCTCTACAACAGGCTTTCCACAAAAAAAAAAAAAAAAGGGATATCGACTTATTATTAAGCATCGGAGGTAGGCATTTTTCCTTTCCCTCACCCGTGACCCAACCCACCCAATTTCTTGTACCACCCACCCGAGCCAAGAATTTTAATTTCCACCACAAGACGACCCCACCAACCCAAAATATTTTTTTTTAATTTCAGCCCCGCACCCGACCCACACACCAGCTGAAAACAGTCCTCACCGTCACCCACCCGCACCCATGAAAACATCATTACCCCTTTGCACCCAAGACCTAACCGCACCCACCCATGCCGATGCAGCCCTGCCCTCGACTCCACCGGTGTCACCACCTCTCTACCTTGCGTTGCCCGCCACCGTCACTCCATCATGGAGTCGCGCAGCAGCAAGGCCAGGTAAGTTAGGGGCGAGGTGGAGGCCGCCAAGGACCTAAGGTCGGGGGGGGAGGGGGAATATTTTTTCCGGTCGTCCTGGGTCTATGGATCGGGTGACCCAGGCCAATGCCTAACCCACCTGTCACCCGCCTGATTGGTGAACCTGAGCAAATGTTGATCCGTCTCAAGGTGTACTGACAACGACTGGCTTGCAAGGTGTCTGTTCGATTCCTATCTTAGACGAGGACAGCAAATTACAGAAAGGCCAAATCTGAGAAGTTCACATCATCACCATGCATGCAAGTCACGGTGCTCAGAGAAGGACAATTGGAAAGAGAGGGCGAGTAGACCAGAGTCGAGATAACGGAAGAGACGAGTAGCAGGATGAGAATAATCTCAAATAATAGTCAAAGCAACAACGACGCCCACCTTCAAACGGCAAGCACATTTCCACATGCGGTGCTTGTGTGCCTAAATGTATGGCAATCAGTTTTTCACCTTTGCACAGTGGGGAAAGCAGCAGGGAACAGTCCTTTAAAGGAGTGATTAAATCAGCGAAGTATACTACTCAAGGCGTACTGACGACAACTGGCTCGCAAGGTCTCTGTTCAATTCCTTTATAAAAAAAAAACAATACAGGACCTCATGGCCCCGGCTCCTTTTCCATTCTGGGGAGCATCAGCCCGGTTCCTATTCCACCGGCAAGTGAATAAAGTAGTACATCATAATTACAAACACACGCTTCCTTCCGTACGGCTGAAGAACTCCTGACCAGCATTGATTACTCCATCCGCATGGAGGATCGACTGTCAGCTTGCCGTGCTATACCCTTTCCTCTCAGGTCTGCTGCAACAAACCTGCCATTTAGGGCCCGAAAACCAAGAAAGGGTTTAGCCCCTTAAACAACCCCCCTATCCCTCAACATGCCCTGAACCCCCACATTTCCTGACCATGCCTATATACCAATTCCCTTTTTCCTAAACACCCCTCAATGTCTACCAATCACCCTCCACCCTGTTTCCTCCGGTGCTGTCCAGCCCTAGCTTCGTCCATCTTGAGCAGTTATGATCTGCCTCAGACCGCTGTCTTAAGCTGTTTCAACTGGCCAAACCCTTAGACCCTAAAGCTTCTGAGCCGTTACCGGATGATTGGGATCCTAAAACCCTAAACCTTCCTCATTCCTCATCGTGATAACCCTTCTCTGTTGTACCTCCTCTAGAGACAACCTGATGACTGTGAACCAAGGGTACTCTTTGCGTTCTCTCTTCCTAAACCTGTCCCATCTGCAGAGGATTTCAGCCTGTAGCATACGTCTCCGCCCATACCTTCTCTCTTGGGTTGGACAGCCCTTCGATGGTTCTGCAGCATCTCTCTTTCCAAATGATCCATAATGTCACCTTCCTAATCAGGCCGAACCATAACCTTTCTGTCTTCTTGAGCTGGTCAGGAATGTTTGTCCAGAGAAGGATTTGGATGGGGTGTTAGGGGAAGGGGGCATGGAAAAGGGTGTCCCAAAGGGCTGAGGCCCGTGCCCAGTAATCCGTTGCCTCGTTACATTGAATTAGACGGTGACCACGTCTTCTTGTGCCCCTTCTGTACAACTGAGGGTGAGGATAATCTCAAATAATAGTCAACCGACACAATGTCTTTCCCGCCGTCCCCTTGTACCTGCGGGCTCTTCTTCTCTCACTTGCCGCCTCTGTAACCGTCAACCTATGCCTACCAGCGATAAAGCCAAACTCTGTTCCACAAACACCTCACCGATTCTCAAGACAGCTCTCCAAAGCAAAGTCGATCATTTCCGATTTAGAACACCGCCAGACACAGCTATGGTCTCTCTCTCTCTCTCTCTCTCTCTCTCTCCAACCCACGCACACACAATATGGTTGCCCTCATCCCAAGGTATGGTGCATGCGGACCTTTTATCGTAGCTGTCGCTACCTCATTCCCTCTCACTCTCCGTCTGCATTCATCCAGCACTGGTGCTCAAGCAGTAGCAGTCCTACATCAAAGTAGAGCAAGCCAGAACGAACGCACAACCTGGGGTAGGCCAAGTACTTGTAGCTTTGACAGCACCTGTGCGTCCGAGATTTCTTGCAGTCAGTGTGTGCCTTGGTCCATCCGGTGAGCCCTCGAAGCTTCCGCAAACAGTACTGAGCCTATGTACTGAGCCTTTACATTGTGTGTGATCCGTGGCTGTTGTCGACTCCTACGAAAGGTTTGGCTCTTTAACTTCTGTTAGACTGTCGACTTTCCCTAGGCTTTCTTTGAGATGTGGAGCCCCTGCGTACCTCCATTTGACCCTCAAAGCCAGGCCTACGTACCTTAGGACTCTCTGTGGACTCCTTGAAGATTGTACGGCCGAGTTTGACCCTCTTATTTTGCGTTGACCAAAGGCTATGACCTTAGGTCCCTAGGCCTTCTTTGCAGGTTTGACCTGACCCTTTGAGAATACACAAAGCAAGAGAAAAATACCAGTAATGGTGGTCCCACAGTAACTGACCCTTTCTTATTTCCTGATGGCTGCCCAGGGTCTAAACCCTATCAGGCATGGTTCTGTCTCCAGGCATGGACTCTCAGGGTTTTTGCGACTTTGTCATTTGGGAATGAAGGCTCTCTTTGTGGGGTTGGCTGCTGATGTAGCTCGTGCTCAAGAATGTGATGCCCATGCCATTTTGAGTTCTCCATGACTGTCTCACTTCCCCACTTCTTCAACCACCAGTACACCCAAGCCTGCTTTTCCTGAGGAGGACTTCTGCTAAGTGCACTCAAGTTGGAAAGCCGTCCTTTGTACGGCCTTTTGCTGAACCAGAAAGGACAGAAAGTCGCGACTTGCTGTGAGCGTCCGCCAGCCCTCTCCATTAGGCAGCCCGAGCCCCCAACTTGAAGGACCCATAACCGCTTACCAAAGAGTGGTGTAAACCCCACGAAACAATAAAGGTCGTAGACTTGCTTTTGCGGAATCTGCAATATACGCCCTGCACTTGCATTTGCTTCCGCTATTCTCAAGAAACTTGGATGGTAGGGGGGGGTAGGTGAGGTGGGCAGGATGGCGTCAAGTTGGGTGTTGTTGTCCATTGCCACTTCAGTGGTTTGGACAGTTGGAATGAACGTAAGGGGTGCACAATCCAAGCAAGATCCCCAGCACGCACAGCTTCCTTCTTTCCTTTACATCACCAGTGCGTCCTTAAGTTGTGCCCGTTAACAAGCCACGGTTTTAGAAAACATGCGAGCCATTACAGGAGCACCCAAATTCATCCGACTAGAAACGTTTCCAGTCTATTTTTTTCTGCGGCTGATAGCTGGGCCAAGTACTGGTGGCTTAATTCCTTCCTTCCCTACCACCAAAGGTTAACAGGGACCCCCACTATTCAGCCCCAAGGTTGGTCAAGGTCGGTGTGTGCCAAGTTTGGTGTTTGTTGGGGTCTTGGAGTTCACTGTTTTGGCCAGCCCTGAAAAAGCCTGAAAATCCTAATAACTGAAAAGAGTGCATTTTGCAAATTTGCATGAAAACACACTTCTGCCTTGGGGTTTGAGGCCCCTTCGATGAATTTTTTTTTATTTTTTTTTTTTGCTGTTGGTTCATTTGGTGTCCACTCTATGGCCTGGTGACAAGTCTGGCGTAAAAGGAATAAGACGTTTGTTATAATGACCCTGAAAAAATCCTGAAAATTTGGGGCTCTGTTCGCATCTTCTCTTCCCTACTCCTGAAGGTGAAATGGGTCATATTCTTCAGCGCAATTTTGCAAGCTGATCACGTATTTGAACGCTCTTCTGTTCTGGAAATACTTCATTTCTCCTGTAAGACAAGCTTGCCTTTTTCATTTCAACAACAACGATCAATGCCCATTTCACATATCGAATTGGAATAAGCTTCCCTGAGGTTCCAAACCATCCTTCACACACACACAAAGAGAGAGAGAGAGAGAGAGAGAGAGAGAGAGAGAGA